AATAATTATTTTTTGCAAGTATTTGTGTTAATTACACTCTTGCAATAAAAAAATGAAAGTTCAATTTCTTTCTTATGTACTAAATTAAAATTTTCATTTTTATAGTTCTTAAATTTTAAATTTTTTTTTACAGAATGACAGACGTCATTTTTTATTTAAAATTTAATATCAAATTTTAATCTTTGATTTTCGCTAATTAACGATTATAAGTTTCATCAATCAAATTCATTGATTAATTATTAATTCCTAATAAATAATAATCATTGATTGATAAAAATGAATAATTAGGATTTAAATTTTAAAGTTTGACATTCATCTCAAAGCATCGTATCTCATTTTGAAAACTTCCAATTTTAAGGATCAAACCAGGACATAATAGCATAGATATGTAGCATTAACCATCTACATATATATAAAGGAGAGTTCAATGTTGGAAACTTCGCTGATGTATTACTCCCTGCTTAATTCTGAAAATTGTGTTCACACTACATGGCATATAAAAACTTTCCTTCTTTGGTAAATTGAAAAAAGAATTTCTTTTAAAAATCAATTTTTTTTTAAATTGAAAAAAAAATGACCATTTGTGGTACAGACAAGGCATTGAAAGTCCCACTGCCCATCACATTGGAATTGGTCAGCTGATTTAATTGCTTTTTATATTAGAATTTTAAAATTCGAATTTTGATTTATATGTATAACCAATTTAAAAAGTAATATAAACGTTTTTAATTTATATGTATAACCAATTTAAAAAATATAAAATTTTAAATTAAAAGAGAAAAAACTTACTTTAAAAAAATATGTATAATTAATATAAAAGAATTTAAAATTTAAATTTTGATAAAAAAATTAAAAATTTATATCTATGATTCTGTAAAAAATAAATTATTAAAATTTAATCACTATAAAAATGAATGACCATCGAGCTCCTGCATCGCAAAAAGATATTTGCCATTAAATATTTGTACTTGATATTTATGGTGATTTAAACCACGCAAAATGGGAAAAAAATAACAGTGAAGTGTAAAAGTATTCAAACATAAAAAATAAAAAATAATAATAATTAAAGCCAACTTGGCAACACTTTTATTTGATCATAGCTGATTTGACATTTGCTTGATGAAAAAGAAGGTCACCTTGAATTGAAACTTCAATAAATAATCATGGGATAATTTCTCTACTTTTAAAAATTTCCCTCTATTAGCACATATAAATATGGGTTTGCTTTTTCTACAGTCAATGTAGATAACTTATCTACAGTGAGTCCAAAACGACGTTGTTTTGAGGCAAAAATTAAAGTATTTTTGTAATTGTAATTTATTTTAGGGTTATAATAGTCTTTTTCATTATACTTTTTTTAATTTTTCAACTCAAAACGACGTCGTTTTGGGAGCGAATGTATATAACTTATCTACATTCACTTTAGACACATTAAAGCCTATAAATATTTAGACTAAAAATTAATAAAATGCATAATTTACTTAAAAACTATTTAGATTCTCATAAAATATAATGATATCAGTAATAAATCATAGATTTGTTGAAGTATACCGTTTTCATGATCAACTTGCATTAGTAACTCCTACTATTTTCTCAATCGTAAATTGAAAGGCCATCTTTTAATTTTTCTACAAAATAAAAATAAAAGATAATGTAATAATTCCGTGAAGATTACGATACCATTATTTCTATGGAAAATATAATCTATTTATTATAAGCACACGCACTAAACAACACATGGAAGGAAGTATGCATATTGTAATAATTGCATCCTTTTACAATGATCCACGCATAGCCTAGGAAATGATGTTAATGAATGTATGAAGAAATCAATGAAAAGATAACAATTAATATGAAAATAGAAATAGGGGATTATTGTGCAAAAGCCGAAGAGATAATTCAAAATATTTCGCTCAAAATTTGAAGAGGATACGAAAAATAAAAAAGCGATAGAGAAATTGGCTAAGACCAAATGTATACGTATATAGCCTAACTTGACTTATTAATAATAATATTTATCGTATTAATTAATAGAATATATATATATATATATATATATATATATATATATATATATGCACACACACACTAAGATAGTGTTCTTCCCAAAAGTTATTAGGAGATAGTCGCTATCAAATGAAATAAAAGGGGAAATGCGCATTTACTCTTCATTTCGATTTTCTTCTCATTCCTTGAAAGTTTAAATTATAGAGGAACAAGATTTTTAATGTTAATTCTTCTGTGTATTTCATCACTTTTTTGAAATTCGAATGCTGAATTGATTTCAAATTTTAGATTTCAATTTTAAATTTCAAATTGTAATGTTGGGAAGGATTTGGAAATAAAAAATTAAATAAATAATAATTTCTTTTAAAAATCGAAATAAAAAATCAATAGAAAACTAAGTTAGTCATTTATAGTGGCAGGCAACTCATTCAATGTCTCACTTATTTGTACATTGAAATTACTCAGCTCTTTTAAATGCTTTCTACATTGGAATTGCTCACTCTTTTGAAATTCGAATTCTAAATTGATTTCAAATTTTGGATTTCAATTTTAAATTTCAAATTGTAATGGTGAGAAAGAATTTGGAAATAAAAAATTAAATAAATAATAATTTCTTTTAAAAATCGAAATAAAAAATCAATGAAAAATTATGTTAATCATTTATGGTGGCAGACAGACAACTCATTCAATGTCCCACTGATTTGTACATTGGAATTACTCAGCTCTTTTAAATGCTTTCTGCATTGGAATTGCTCACTCTTTTGAAATTCGAATTCTAAATTGATTTCAAATTTTGGATTTCAACTCTTCTAAATTTTGAATTTATGTTTAAATTTGAATTTTGGATTTGAATTTTTAACTTTGTAATGATGGGAAAACTTTTAGAAAATTTTGTCTAGCAGACAACTTATTTAATGTCCCACTACTTTTCTTTTGTTGTATATTATGAGTAAAAAGACCTTCACTTTTCTTTTGTTGTACATCTGACTATTTTTTGCATGGATAATTGTTAGCACTATTAATGCTGCATAAAAAACAAAAACATTAATAAAATTTGTAAAATAACAAAATTATTTATATTGTAAAATAAATTCAAAATTTGGAAATAAATTAAATGAAAAATTATGAGAACTTGATATGTGGAAAAAAAGTTCAGCATTTAATATTTATGCAGTGAAAAAAAATATATATAATAAATTTGAATTTAATATAAAATTATAGATTAAAAAATAAAATATTTAAAATTATAAAAATAAATTTATAGTCGATAAAAATTATTTAAAATTTCTAATTTAAAAGAAAAATAAGAAATGGCATAATTTATACTTTGCTAAAAATAAATTAAAATTTTAACATAAAAATTTTAAATATACATGTATAACCAATTAAAAATATATATAAAAAACATAAATTAAAATAGAAAAAAATTACATAAAAAATATGTATAATTAATATAAAAAGTTTTAAATTTTAAATTAAAATTTTAATACCAATATCAAAAAATGTTGATCCGGATCGGCAGTCCCATCCAATCAAAGTTATTAAAATCGAGATTTTAAGTAAAATCGAAAAAGAACTAAAAAATCATAAAACGTAAAATCGTAATGTAAATAATTGTAAAAAATCATAAACATAAAAGTATTTAAAATATTGATAAAATCATTTTGATAAAAAAAATCATAAAAATATAAAATCGTAATGATAAATCAAGATTTTAACAACTATACACTCAATTATAACAATCGTATTAAAATCTCACATCCTTATGTAAAACTTGTTAAAGCAAAACCCAATGGATGGCAGTCGCACCAATTCAAAGTTACTGTTTGAAACCCAGGTTAACAGTTCCATCCTTGAAGAGGAAGACTCTTGGCCTTTCACCACCTTTCACCACATCCAGGTTGAACTGCAAAATTTATGTATATATCTAAAAAAAAAAAAAAAAAAAAACTGCTAAAAGAAAACAAAATCTAATATCCAAATTAAGAAATTAATTTTGTGTACTCTTTTTTTCCCTTTCTATAAAGTTTTGGAAAATAAAAATTTTCAGATTTTGAAGTTAAACATGTTATAAATTTGTGTGATAACTTGCAATAGTGTTTATAAATAACCTACTAATTAAATAAGAATATACATCTCGCTTGATGACCAAAAATTTATATCAAACATGTCAAAATAATTTTTTTATTTAACAAAATATTTCTTTGACAAAACAAAATTAAAGATAATGTAACATCAGTAACCATTTGGACTGTGCAAAATAATCCAATGAATGGAATTGAATTATATTTTTCTAAACTAATTTGGAGAATCGAACTAGTTTAGAAACAAATTTTAAAATTGAACAGAATAAAATAACTATTTTAGAAAACCAATTCAAAACTGTTTTGCATACCCGAACTTGTTGTAAAATGATTTATAATTGAAATCAATCATAAATTATAAACTAATTTTGAACCACGACTAAGTTCCAAATAGATTTTGTACCAATTCAAAAAATAAAATAAAACTAATTATAATAAAATAAAACAATTTAATCCACTAGAGCTATCCTAATGAAGTGGATGTGTGTAATAGGATGTGTGTTAGTGTGAGTTGCTTTATGCAATTCCTGTAAGTGTAACCTTTAAAAAAATAAAATAAAATAAAAATAAAAAATAAAAACAATTTGATTCAACCGAACCAACTCAGTTAAAAAAGCAGCTTCGGGTTGAAAGCCCTCCCGTAATTCCTATAACCCTTTCAGTTGAATTCCATACTAAAGTTATCCTTTCATTATTACCAAAAAAAAAAAAAAGTTATCCTTTCATTAATTCTCCCTTATATTATCTAATATACATACTATTTGATACAATATTTGTGGGGGAAACCAACAAAAGCGAAGTTTATGTATTCAAGTTCCACAAGTTCCAAAACGAAATCAACTGCCTCTTAATCTCAACATTGAACAACTACAATTTTTAACCAATAAAAAACAATCATTACCAAACCCCAATATTTAACGCAATAATTCTCATCACTTATGTACAACGCAAGCGGTGTGGTAACCGGCTTGATAGTTCTATATTATCACAAAATTTGGATAATCAACTGCCCGTTCCAACCAATCTGCATGTTGAACGAAGTGGATTCAGACTTAGTTTGCATAAATGCCAAATATCTCTCATACCAGACATAGAGCAGTGAGATGGACAACAACTACAGACAGATATTAGAATGACACCACAGACTGGGGATGAGTCGAAGATTGCAGCTGAGATAGTGCAGTATCACTTTCTTCACTCTCATAAGCAATTGGTTTTCCACATACATCCTTCCTGTGAATCAAATAACAAATTGGAAGGACAATATAATCATCTATGTAAAATGGAAATAACAAGCGGTTTTGTCAAAACGGTAAAAGCGATAAAATGATCATACAAATGGGTATTCCGTGACCATTAGTCATCATTTTTTATCCTCACAATCTCATGTTAAACTCGGTAAACTCAATGACATATAGAAAGGGACCACAAAGTATTTGAGCAAAAAATGCATAAGCTAAAACTGACTTATTTTATCCCATTCCTTTTTCTTCTTTTTTTTTCTTTTTTATAGGTGAATAGAGTTCAAGCAAAAGGTTATGCTTAAATAGGCATACCTTTGAGAGGTGAAACTTTCCTCAGATAATGCCTTCTCCAACCTCTCTTCGAATGGCGTTGCATGCCAGTTCACTTTTTGATCCTGAAAACATTCAACAATAATCAGGTGCAGTATCTAGAATTTAAACTCTTTCACATAGCAAATAATGATTACATGTCATACTTCCTTGTACTTAGTGGTTGAATTTGGTATGCCATTGCCATCCCACCATTTAGGAGGTGGAACGTGAGAATCCTCATCTTCATTCCAGTGTGCAGCAACCATCCCAATGATAGGCCTGTCGGCAGGAGTTTTGCGGATCTGAGTATAAGCAATCTCCATTCTCTTGTTTCTCTCCTCCAGAATGACAGATGCAGGCTTCAACCAAGAAGATAAGCTTTCTTCCACCTTAGATTCATTTTCATAGGACATTTTCTTTAACCCTTTTTCTGGTGTAGAAGTAGAATTTTGAGACTGCTCAACTGATTCACTCAGCTTCCTTGAATCTCGCTCAGCTTCAATATCCTCTTCCGCGGGAATCTTGGTCTGAGAGACATCCTCGACTTTGTAAACTGAATATCCAAACTGAGACTGAACTCGAGACTTACCCTTTGGTAAGTTTTCCAGTGTGGCAGGGCGAACAGTTCCAGGAGTTTGCATTTCATCAGATAACTTCATTGGAGTAGGATAAGGTGATGGTTTATATGCACCCTCATTATTTGTTGAGTCTGTTTTCTTCCTATGCCATCCACCATAATCAGAAGAGTCACACGATGATAAATCAGTGTCACATTCAAAACGTACAGACTTGTTCCTTGTCTTAGTGTATGTGGTTGATGGCCAGGGTGAAACAGAAGCTGTACTCTTTTCAGTCCTATCTGAAGTATGAAGGCTTGCTGTCCTACTTCCTTCCGTAGAGTCAAGAGCGTCGCATTGGATATTTTGTGCATTGGAGATACAGCTGCAAATGAAAAGAAATTAACTTCTGACAAGATTCTATATAATTTTTAAAAATGAACCATGTCTGACCAAAATACTAGTGTACATTCCGTGAAAATCCCATACAACACATGCCCAAAAGGGGAAAAAAATTGAGAATCAACTTCCCCATTTTTCGAGAGAGACCTTTTATAAAGAGGAACAATTTTCCCTAGATTCTTTAATAGAAATAAGCTGCAGCAGTTCCTAATAAGGTGGCCTTCCATTGTGCTATGGGTAAATAATGGAATATCGGCCTCCTTTGAAATTGACTAAAAATTTGCTTGCTCCCCATATATTATTATTCAATATCAGCAGAAAAAAGATTCAGTACAAAAAGATGAAAAACCTGCTTGGTGTGTGCTCTAAAGAATCAGTTACTTTCCCCCATTCTTCGCAATATTTTACAGGAGTTAGGGGGTTGAATGGTTGAACATTTAGCTGAACTTTCTCGGCAGATGTATTGGGAAGCGAAGAACGAAACCTTGAAGGATCAGAATCTTTATCCCAAGAAGGTGAGACTTTCAGTTTCTCAGACGCTTTCCGAATTTCAGCAGCAGTTCTTGATATTGTACCAGAAGCTTTAAGAAACTTGGCCTGCAGAAAGAGTTTATATAATCATGTAAATTGAGAATCAACAAATTAAACCAAATACAAAAATTAGTTCAAACTTTAAAAGTATTTTTGAGAAATTGTATATAATATAGAAAACATAGTTTGCTCATTTGTACGAATTCAAAAGCAAAATTACATAAAAATTCTAAAACTCTTTTTCTTCCAGCAGCAAGGCATCGTCCATCTTAGACGATCTAGTTGCTCAGTTTACAAAGGTTTCTGTGCCTGAAACAGCATATGCTAGCAACAATATGATGTAGTAGAAATATGGTTCATACATGACATATCAGGAATACATCATGGAACTCACACAATGATAATATGATATGATCATCATCACGGAAAAATTGTTACCTTCATGACAAATATAATGAAAGGGATGCACCAGAGAATGAGCCAACAGACTTAAACCCAACAATATCCACTAATTTGTCATTGAAAAAATTCATTTATTTAATCGAAAATGCAGCAAGGTTTGGACCAAAATGTAGTTCCTTTCATCCAGTATATCTTAGGTATAAGCACTTGATACAAATCTCAGTTTCTAGAATTAGAAATGACCAGAAGTTCAACACTTCAAGTGTGCTAATTTATATATAAAAATAATAGATGCTGTGAGACTGTAACAACATAGAACTCAATATTTTGCGGCCAACATTTCCACACATGCTGCTGTTATATAAGGTCAGATTATCTATAAGTGACCTTGCTGCAAGAATCTTGAGGCAGAAATATACAATGCAGTGCCAAGATTATAAGAGGTTGTAAGGAAAAAGATGTAAACATTGCAGCTTCTTGAGATAGCTTTTGAAAAGGGGGAAAAAAAGGCAATATTTTCCAAAAATTAATTCTGGGAATATGATTGCCTTTTTTTTTCAATAGCACTTTCAGAAAATTGCAAAAAAAGAAGAAGAAAAAATGCGAGAATTTTTCTAAAATAAGCTAATTCAACCACACACTAAGTAAAAGCATTTCAGGTAATTACACAACTTAGAGCTGATTCTGTTTCCAGTAACCATAATTGAGAAGACTTTTAACACCTCACTTCAAATTAAATTATAGATTCCATCCAGTTCAAAGCTGTAGCATTGAGAATCTCGGTATGCAATAAAAAGCCTCTTGAAAAGATGTATCAAAAGCAACGGAAAAAGTGAAAAGAAGTTACAAAGGACCACCCAGTTGAAATAAAATGATTCCTAGTGTTCTGGAATCTAAGTTCCTCTCAATAACTTGACAATTGGTCAGAATTGAAAAAAGCCAGCTTTTCAGGTCCTAATTCTTGCCACTCTAAATTGTCTTGAGAATATTCTCTTATAATTCCATGGTACACATAAAAAAAGAAATTACTTTTAGGAAAAATAAAATAAAATAAAACTGGGGATTCCTTCATGATGTTTAATAACAGGAATAAAATGCCCAAAACGAAAAACAGAAAATCCCAACAACAAATCACCTCATTCTTAAGCTCTCTGTCACCAAAATTCTTCCCACCATCGCGCGCAGGGTCTTCTCTCTCTTTTCAAAATGTAAAGTACAAAATTAGTTGACAAAAACAGAATGCCACAATTCTAACATTAACATCACAATAACACTGATCATTAAAATATACCTTCAGATTGAAACAAAGTAGACAAACGATTTCGAGAGACAGCAACATCCTGGTTTACACACAGCAAAAAAATCACAACCCTCACATCACAAATAAAATTAAAACCATACACAACTCTCATAAAATCAGCTCAATTCAGTGACCAGTTCCACTATTCCTCCATAACAAACAAAATAACAGGAAAAAAAAAAAAACAGTTACGATTGTTTGTTACGTTGCGTTTGTTGGAAAGAGAAGAAGGCACTGTAGTGGTGGTGGGGAGGTGGCGCTTGTCGCGAACCCTGAAGCAGGCGAAGAAGCAACCCATTATGGCTCGGGAGAAGGATCGGAACACGAACCTCAATATCAAACCTAACCAGAGCATATCATCGAAGAGGACCCAGGTCAGGTAAGTAACGTTCCTTTTTTTTTTTTTTTGATTATTATAATGAAAACTGTGCGTGAGAGAGAGAGAGAGAGAGTGAGTGTGTGTGTGAAGTGAAGAGTGAGGTGCGAGTGCGGAATCGATTTTGAAATTTGAACTAACAATAGAGCGAGGGAGGGAACGGAATCCAATAATACAGACACTCTTCTATGCGTCACTTACCTCGCGATATTTCTCTCTCTACTCGCTTCGTGTTTGAAACTTTGAAACTCGCTACTCTGTGAGGACACGTGACCCGTTACTGGATGCAGTTGGCAGCGCGTGAACCTGAGTGGGATGAGAATGGCAGAATGCCTTTTGTTTATCAAATAAGAATGTTTGATTTTTATTTTTTTAATTTTCTTGAGCTATCCCACCGCCTAGAAGCAAAGATTAATCCTTTGTCAACGTAGAGATTACTGAAGTGGATTTTGATTTTTTATACACGTGGCCAGATATCAAACTCTTGTTAGATCCATCCATTTACTAATTGTGTTGGACTTTATCTATTTTTTATCTGAATCATTTTACACCGGTGTAAGTTATACTTTAAATATTGATCATTGATTTTATTTATATTTGACGATTCTAATTTATTAAATATTTAAACCATTAAATGCAAGCAAATCAATGATCAAAATTTAATGTAAGATTTTTTATACCAGTGTAAAAATATTCTATTTTTTTTAAATAAAAATGTTTTGGGATATATAATTGAAACGGAAAAGTTCAGTAACTGACTATGAAATTATTAATATAAACTACATTATTCAAAAGTAATTCAAAATAAAAATGTTATGTCATTTGGAAATTAATAAGCACTAAATAGGTGAACTCTTATTTGAATTTGTTAAAATCTATAAAATAAAAAAATTAACAAGTAGCATGAGGAGATTCTTTCCAGATTTATATGAATGGAGTTAGTCCAGCTTAATTCATCTGTGTGTGTTGAGCGAGTGTTTGTAAACTTAAGATTTTGATTTTGATTTTGATTTTAATTATAAGATTAGTTTTCATTAAAATTGAATTAAAAGAGAAATTATTTATGTTAATATATTATTTATTTAAAATTAATTTTGATAGAATAAATTTTATCATGAAATGCTTAACTCAATGTCTCAATGTAAAATTTTTATTTTATCACTTCTAGAAAAATGGGGGTTTAGAAACTACAATAATTTGAAGTCGTAATAATCAAATATTAAAATATTAAAATAAAATTATGTTTCTGAAGAAGAGTTTGAAACAGCCTGTATTTCAAAAAAAAAAGAGAGAGTTTGAAACAGCCTAATTTAAATTTAAACATGCGTTTTATTACTTGAATTTGGTCAAACTATCTCGTTTTGCTCAGCTAAATGATGTTATAATTTTTGAGTATAAAACAATCGCTTAATTCCTTATGGTGTCCTATAATTGAATTTGCTGTTGGGATTACTATTAGTTCGACCTAATAAATATTCAATATTATGAACGCTTAAAATAACAGTAAAGTATTTTTTTGTATCCTTAACAAAAATTATGGGGCCATTTTAATTTCTTAGGAAAAAAATGTCGACGTGTAGTACTTCTGAAATTCAAAATAGATCCGGTTAGTCAAAATTATGATCTCTCTGAAAGTCAAAATCAAAATCATGATCTTATCAGACTAGCCTAGTATACTAAGTTTTACTTTTATTTTATTTTTTATATTACGCATAATATCCCCTTCTCTCTCCTCAACCTATTTCATCCCATTTTATTAGTTAAACAGATTTTTTGAATGATTTTATTTTATATTATACTGTTTGATATATATTGAATTTATGAATCTTTGTGAAATTATTAATATTGTTGATCGTATATTCTATTTGAATAAATTTTTGTTGTCTTATTTTTTTTTAACAGGCCAACAGGTTAAATAAGGCTTTTATTCTTTGTAAATAAGTCAGACCACATTCCGATAGGTATATTCATAACAAGTAATAGGCTAGGCTAGACTGATATATTTAGACACAAACTTAACATCTTAAGACCAAAGTCCGGCCCAACTCGACCGTTAACCCCCCTAATTATAAGGTTGGCCAAATCAATCATGAACTTGTTGAATCACTTTGTTTATTTTATAAAAGGCTTTGTTTTTCTCCTTTCACATGAGAAAAGAAATTCTCCTACACTTTAAGGTAGGTCCCACCAATAAGAAATTAAAATAAAAATAAAAAACAATGCACACATACCGATGTATGAGAGACATGAGAAATGCTTTCTCCATCAACATAAGAAAGTATTTTCCCTTTTATAAAATAATCAAAACTAAATTTTGAGGAAAAAAATTCTTCATATTTTTTTATGGTTGGTATTTTTATTAGAGGGAAGTTATAATACAACCAATTTTCGTTTACAACCTCTTACAACTATATCTTAACTATTGATTTCTGTCAATCAATGATTATCATTTATTACAAATTAATAATTAATTAATGAGTTTGATTTGCGAAAATAATAATCGTTAATTAGCAGAAATCAACGGTTAAGATATAGTTGTGAGAAGTTGTAAATGTAAATAGATTATAAATATAACTTTCCCTTTTTATTATATGAATTATTTGTATAATGTCATATAATCTCAATTAAACAATTGTATACACATAGAAAATCTTATTGGTTCATTGTCTCCGTTTAACTACGTTCATTTGGCCAAACATTTTTATATATATATATATATATATATATATATATATATATATATATATATATATATATATATATATATATATATTGAATATTTTAAATATATATTTTGATAAAGGGAAAAATATTTCTGCAGTTACTGCAGATAAGTTATCTGCATTTATTTCCAAAACGATATCGTTTTGGTATTGAAATCTTAAAAAATTATAAATATAAAGACTATTATAATTCTGAAATAAATTAAAGAGTAAATACCCTTTTTAGTCCCTGTCAATATCTACGAAGTCCTTTTAGTCCCTGGCAATAAAAAAGGACCAAATTGGTCCCTGAAATTACAAAAAAAGAGTCATGTTAGTCCTTATGTCAACTCCCAAATATGTAGAGTGGCCCTTTTCTTATACTTTCAGGGACCAATTTGGTCCTTTTTTATTGCTATGGACTGATAAGGACTTCGTAGATATTGTCAGGGACTAAAAAGGGTGTTTACTCTAAATTAAAATTACAAAAATACTATGATTTTCGTTCCAGAAAGACGTCGTATTGGGTGTACTGCATATAACTTATCTGCAATAACTGCAGAAAAAACGAACCCTTTCATAAATTATTTTTATTCTTTTCCATTTTAGAAAATGTCCCGAGAGAGGAGTTACTAGGCCTTGGTTGTTGATGTGAAATAAGAGAATAGAAAAAAAAAATTATTTCTAAATGTTGTTTAAACACGGTGTTGTTTCTTTTTTTTTGGATACATTTAATTTTTTTTTGGATACACTCGGTGTTGTTTCTAAATGAAGACATTCTTTTTAGTCTGCATTATTTTTTCTTTTCTTTTAAAAAATAAAATAAAATTAAACTAATCATTGGCTAGGTAACATGGATTGGGAACAAGAAAGGTAAGATAATTAATGGGTCAATCAAGTTCTTGAGATATATAGTCCCACATTGGTTGTATATGCAATTAATGTGGAGTTTATAAGGCCTTGGACACTCCCACCCTTTGAGCTAGCTTTTAGGGTGGTGTATCCCAAAGTTCTTTACATGGTATCAGAGCCTCGCCGCCTCCCACTTTCTCTTGTGGCGTTTCTTAGCACAGGTAGGCTGGGCTTGTTGCATTGTCCACTCTTCAAGCCCAATGGGTTCTTGTGTGACGAAACGTGTTGAGATATATAGTCCCACATTGGTTATATGTGCAACTAATGTGGAGTTTATAAGGCCTTGGGCACTCTCACTCTTTGAGCTAGCTTTTGAGGTGGTGTATCCCAAGCTCCATATTTTTTATTTTTTATTTTGTTGGTCAAATGTGTTAGCTTGTCTGCTAGGCCAGTTTTACCAGAATGAGTCATTATCCTACCTCATCAAATTGGACACCTTCGTGCCTGCAGTTCACCATTGAACAATTTACTCCTATTCTATCATTTAGTATTTGGGAAAAAAGTATTTAATGTTACTCTAAACAATTCTGTCTAATGTTCACCAAAACGACATCGTTTTGATGTTGAAAAATTAAAAAATTAGAATAATAAATACTATTATAACCCTGAAATAAATTAAAATTACAAATACACCATGATTTCCGTCCCAAAACGACGTCGTTTCAACGAACATTAGATAAAGTTATCTAAAGTAACGTTAGAAAAAACGAACCCTTAGTATTTTGTTTTGTTTTACAATAATGTTTTTAACTGTTATGTTAATGGGATCTAAATTCCTACTCAAGACAATTTCAAGAAAGTACACTTAAAACTATTTTGATATATGCCTCCATGATCACTATTTACATAATTTTGTTATCAAAAAATAAGAGTCAAATAGTTTGGTATCATTATTTCATTCCTTATTATTCTTTTTTCATTGAACTAATTTGATCCTTGGAATAAACCAAATGACCTTATATATAATCCAAGTGAATTTGTTGTCAAAACTATATTTGAAGTTTCTTTGTGAAGCAATTGTCACAATATAATAATTGTTTTTCAAAATAATCCATGTAGTTGGCACACCAACCACGTACCCCACTTGTATGGATAGCCTTGGATATGGCTAATAATGAAATTAAAGATTTACTTCTTAATTTTTCAGTGTTGAGGGAATGATTAGTTTGTTTTCATTATTTGCTAGTTAAGCAACACTGTTGTTTACATTATGAAATTTTTTGAACTATATTAGTCTATACGCTTTGGGTTAATCATAAGCATGAAGTTTATCTCAAGAATCAGTATATAATTAATGACTCATTTTGGACATAATAATTGAGGATAATCAACATTGTAA